TTCAGGAAATACTTCTTGAAGAACAATTTTCTTTTTATTAGTTTGCATTAGCGAATGATGGGCACTTCCAAAATATGTGCAGAGGGGAAAATATCCGGAACCACTGACTACAAAGCATTTTTGCGCGAGTGAGCCTTCCAGTTTAATTCAGGAGACTCAGGCTAGTAGGGCTCGCACTAGCTCTCTAAAATAACTGTAAAGACAGCACTTTGACACTGTAGTCTGGGCTGGAACTCAAGCTCAGATGTCCGAGGCTTACTCCAAAATGCTGTGTGGACATACTAAAAGATCTTTATTTTCTCCAAATCCCAGTTACATATCACCACAGCTACGTCTACATTGGTAGCTTCTTGCGCAAGAACTCTTTTGCGGAAGAGTTCTTGCACAAAAAGTCTTCCACAAGAGTGTGTCTACACTGGCATGTGTTTTTGTGCAAGAGCATCCATGGCAGCGTAGATGCTCTCTTGTGCAAGAAAGCTCTGATGGCCATTGTAACCATTGGGGCTTCTTGGGCAAGAAATTCATGTTGCCTGTCTACAATGCCTCTTCTGGAAGAGCTCTTGCGCAAGAGGGCTTCTTCCTGAAAGGGAGTGTCAGAGTTCTCGTGCAAGAAGCCCTGATTTTCTACAGTACAATGTCAGTTTACTTGCGCAAGAACGCGCGGCCAGTATAAACAGGTGGCACGTTTTTGCGCAAGAGCGGCCGTTTTCATACAAGAACATGCCAGTGTAGACACAGCCCACATGTACATTTTTTTCAGACCTTTGCAATTTAACATTGCCTTCCAAACAAGTATTGACTGCTTCCTTTTTATGACTAGGAGAAAGCATATGTGGGTAAAGGAATAAATGCCTAGTCTTCCACCACTCTTTTGCAGACATTTTCATCCAAGACACAGTAGTACAGGCCAAAGCATCTTATTAAAACATTCACATATTTCACAAATCCCAGCTGGCTGAATTGCTATAATGAGTTAGAGGACCATCTCAAACAAGTGGGTTTCAGAGTATTCTGAGTCTTCAAGATCTACCGAAGTAAATTTGGAGTCCAGTACTAAGATTTATAAACATGCTATGTATTTGTGTTGGATTCTTGTGCATTATAGGCAGAGCTGATATTACTGCTGGTTGCCTGACACTTCCCATTATAAGACTCAATTTTCAGTTACTTATAACTTTGCCAAACTTTAATCGTTCCTATTTTGACGCATACATAGCCACATCTGAATGCCACTGGAGACAATGAAGAGACTCCAGTTGACCTCAGTGACAAATCAAACTTGGGTGCAGCAGAACAGAGAAGGTGAACACTTGAAACATTTTATTCAAGTCATTTTCACATCAACTTGCAACCATAATACAGGCAATGTAAAACAAGAATATGAAAGTGCAATGAAGAATACAAAGCTAGTGTCTGAATATTATAAATAAAAGCTCTTCAAATAAAGATAGATTTTAAAATTCAGATTCTTGAAAACAGTGAAGGAAACTGCAAAAATAAGTGGCATTTCACTGAATTTGTAGCATTTATACTAAAAACAAAAATAACCTCCCATAAGCATATACTTCTTGCTTTTCATTCAAGTTATTTTAGCACCTTTTTAAATCTGGGGAATGTGAAAAAACAATTTGGTATAACATGAGGCACAGGATAGACCACTTTCAATATCTTATGAATGAAGCTAACCTGGTATGAACAGACAACTAAAAAAACAGATATATAAAAGAACTATGAAGGTAAAATTGGTGAAAGCACCATTCAATATTACATAGTAAACTTTGGTGTGCAACGTAAAATGGATAGATCTTTTACTAACCTAAAAATATCAACTGATGACCACTCTGTCATTCTTTTAATACTTTTGTCTAGAAATGTGCACCTGTTATCAAACATGTATTTCAAGACTTTACAAATATAGCAAAGCCATCTTGTAATAAGTCCATTGCACGGGAATGTTCTTTATATGAAACATTTCTCTAATGACCTGAAATGTGGGAGGTAATTGCTTCATGCGCACTCTAACATTTTCAAAGGAAATTTGAAACAGCAAGAGAAACATTTCTGTACTTTGGAAATTTTACAGACTTTTGGACTGATCTAATGTTCTTTGAGCTCAAGAGCAAAGCTCCCTTTTCAAAGACTGCAGGAACAGACCCAAAGCCTATTAAAATGATTACACAATAAAATTTGATTTATAAAATACACTCTTACATCAAAACAATGTATAAAGATTTCCTACAAAAAAGCAAGCATTCCCTTAAATATATTCCAGCATAAAAAAGTAGGCTTAAGATATCTGGGTCAAACCTGCAGTGACCAAAATCTTGACAATAATAGCCAGAACCCCGCATTTAGTAACATTAGCTCATAAGCTTTGTAAATTAACTTTTCTGTACTCCTGCATTATAACTCAGCAGGATAAGTTCAGGACCGATTGTATTAATTTTTCCAAATTTAAATCTGACATTGCTAGCTTTTACTGATTTAAGCAAGACTATTCAGGTACCTTTGAACAGTGTTTGTGCAAATGTATTCTCCCATTGTTTAAAACAAATGTTTTAAAATGTGTACAGTATTTAGCTGAAGAAAAGAAAATCCGCAGTCTATAAGATTAATGTGTTCATTTTCCTCTTATCCAAAGATGGCATCTATGGAGTCTTATCAATCTATCATGTCAATGAGTACTTAAAATACTGTTAAATCAGGGAATCATTTGGTAGTCCAGGTATCTGCACTAAAGGCCAGAATGTGTCTTCTTACAGGAGAGCCAAAGATACTCTGAAAACGCCCTTTTTAAACGTCCACAAGTTTTGAGGTATCATCCATGTGGGAGGTATAAAATTTGCCTTTATATGTGGGAGTACGGAGCGTGTCTCCAACTTTACAGATGATGCCCCAAAAGCCCACAGATCTCAGTGCATCTATGGAGTAAACACCCTTAACACTACTCCCTTAGAACAGCACACATCACGGCTGCACAGCTCCTGGTTAATGCCTGACCCTAAATGTGCTGTGCCTGAAGAGTTCTCAGACTCCATCTCTATGGAACCAGGCTTGCAAGACTTGTTCTATCATGTTAAAAACAGGAGTGTAGGCATGCCAGCTTGGGCTCTTAGACTCACTCCCCACGCCAGACTTCAAATCCTGAGCTCTAGCCTAAACTGAAATATCAACAGTGCTATTTTTTGCTATGTATCATCAGCATGCGTTTGTAGTCCTGGGCTCTGAAGCTTGTTGCACTGGGTGTGCTTTTGCAGTTTAGATGTACCCACCAGGCAACTGCATGTGTACAACTTGTCCACACACAAGCTGCAGGATCAGTCTTCATCCAAGGTTAGAAATTCTGGTGTGAATCAATTTTGACGGGAGGTATAAATGTAACTGTGTTAGTCCACTCATACATGTGTGTGTCTGTGTGCCTTTTAAAAAAAATCCATTTACAAAAATTGTTCTGGAGCTCAGACTGCAAAAGCCAAACTTCAGTCTGGAACATATTTATACAGTCAGTTATAAAACTCATGAAAATAGGGCTTTTTTTAATGAGAAATAATGGCACAACTTTAACTGCTGATGTGTGTAGAGCCCTACTACTGTAAAATGTACCAAGTCTAGTTTTCAAAATGTACTGCTTGAGTTATATACCCACTCAGTAATTGACTGAAATGATCATTTATTGACCAAATGAAGGATATGGAGAACTCAGGAGCCTGCGTATGTAAACTGTATCTATCTGGCACACACAAGTGAAAGGTGAGTGGGCAGTTATAAAGGCCATGTCTTCAATGAGTGTGTTGTGACTGTGTTGATGTTACAGTTGTTTGTTTGTTGTACCAAAATATGGTTGTGATTTGGACACAAACATTTATAATCTTGAACAATTAAAGATATGTAGGAAATAACTAACTGATCCATAGTCCTCAAGGTTATTCTGATAACTCCCTCAAATTCAAAATTTAAATTTCCATTGTTCTACTGTATGCAGTATTGGCAAATATTTCTTAATATGTTCCCCAAAGTTGTAACAACTCCTGAATATTCCTCAAGCTACACAAATACATAAAGATATATGCCATTAAAACACTAAAGGTTTTGAGCTTTGGCTGTTGCTTTAGTTGTGAGCCAATGGTTGAGCATTGCACCATCTGTGATCTGAAAAAGTATCAGGGCAATGTTGTGAGAAGTATTTTCACAGTTTAAAAGCAAAAATCACAGCTGTTTTAGCTTACAACTTGGTCCACTGCATACATGAAATAATTATATTTTTGTGAACCCCCATCAGTAAGCAGCATGATGTATCTTGTTAATATGGGCTGAAAGTTTTTCATTTTGAATATTTCATGACTGACCTAACTAAAGTACTTCTGGTATTGCATACACCAACTATTATTCTATACATAATATTTTAACCTTCATTCTTTGAATAGCCAAATATGCAATTAAGAATCAAGTGCTGTTCTGAATGTACAACAACATTAATGGGAATACAAGTAAAAGGCCTGTTTTCAGTAAAAACACCCTGATAAGCCTTTTGGGCCTATTTCTGTTTGTGGTGCCTCAGAGCTGATTGCCTCTATCAGTTACTGTAATTGGTTAACCTGTTCTATTCATGCCTTTTTTTCACAGCTAATGAGTAGGGACTATCCAATGCGGCTTCCAGAAGCCTTATTTCTACTGGACAGGTATTCATCCCAGTGCATTTTGCTCACATCGAATTCCTGGTAGATCTTTTTAAGAGCCCCCTTTTGAAAATCTCTATTCACATAGAAAAGTGGCTCAGTTCTTTAATTCTACTCCAAAAGTAAAACAGGCTTATGGCCAAAGCTGCAATATGCATATGGCTTGAGAATATGGTTTACCTAGTAATATATTAAAAATGTAAAAAACAAATTTCATATATGAAATGTAACTAAATGCATACATGAATATTTTCCGCTTTATATTACTATTCCTTAAAAACTGAGGATACTTTTCTCCTTTGCATCCAATGTATCCAATTAGTTTTACTGTAATAGCAGGAGCATCATTTCCAAGCTGGTCTTTTATCAGGCATTCATTGAGCTAGCCAACATTATTACTACTCACTACATGTTATTTAATACTATAAGTTTTTGTTGCCCTTTAAAGAGATTCCAGCTCATTCATAGATAGTGTACTGACCAAACTCTGCTGTTTATCTACACTCTGATTTCCAGTGGAGTTTAAAACAAAACAAAAATACAGAAAACCTTTTGTTCCTGTGAATGAGTTCATTTCCTTTAGAATTTGAAAATCGGTGCATGAATCACCAATCCCACATGTTTCAATAGTTTTTTTTAAGTAAGTCACAATGTGAATGCTAAAAATCCAGTTACACATTTTATGAAGCAGCCATAATGCCTCAAAACCACGTAAGTTGGTGTTGAATTTTTTTTTTTTTTTTTTTTTTTTTTTTTGGCCTTTTGCAAAGTGTTCATATCCTACTGAAGTTTATATAATGAATGATATTACAGTTCAAAACTTTGGCACTGATTCGTCCATTTTCTTGCATCTTAGTATCTATTAAAAAAAAGAAAAATGTTAAAAATATAAATTAGCAAATGATTACTAAACAAAGTAAACCCACCTCTGTTAAAATAGCTATATATTGTAAACATGCAGCAAAAAAGAAGCTAGAGAATTTTTTCCTTTCTACATTTGTACATATTATTACAGTATTTTGTTAATTTATGAAGCTGAAAGAGGTGAGGCTACAAAGCAACTAACATAATCCTAATCGACATTCTCCAGTTAACCGTTTCTCTCCCTCATCTTGAATTCAAGTGAATAGAAGGAGAACATTAATCACAATCAGTTAGCCTACATCTAGACTACGCATTTGCTCTTCCACTATTTTTCACGGAAGAACAAACGTGCTCTTTCAGGGAGCCCTGTATACCTCATTTCACGAGGCATAAGGGCTCCATCAAAAGAGGAGGCTTTTCCACCATTTGGCCCCGTCTAGATGAGGCCAAATGGCAGAAAAACCTTTTCTGGAGGGGAAAAAAAAAGGCAGAAAAACACTGCAATCTAAACCTAGCTTTAGTGGAAGCTCTGATTAGAGCTATTATTAGTGCAGGAAGATGCCATCAAAGTGTAATTTCACAGCTTTACCAAACTTCATAACCTGTAGCACACCTATTCTGTTTCTCATTCTCCCACAAACACAGATACTGATGGTGAGGATAAATAAAGGACCAGGTCAAGAGCATTTAACTTGTTGCTTTTATGAATGGCCATACCAGATGAGACCAGTGGTCCATCTAGCCCAGTCTCCTTTAATATGACAGTAGCCAATGCCAGAGGCTTCAGAGGGAATGAACAGGGCAATTATTCAGTGATCAGTCCCTAGTCATCCAGTCCCAGCTTCTGGCAGTCAAATTTAAGGACACCCAGATCATGCGGTTGAGTCCCTGACCATCCTCTCTAAGGCCTGGTCTACACTAAAGAGGAAAGTCGACTTAAGATACCCAGCTCCAGCTACGTTAATTACATAGCTGGAGTCAAGTATGTTAAGTCGTGTTTTGGGGCTGTCCACACAGTGGGAGGTCGATAGGAGTAAGTACTCCCATCGACTTCCCTAACTCCTCGTGAGTAGCATGACTACCAGCAGTGACGGGAGTGCCTTCTCAGTTCGAATTAGTGTATCTTCACTAGACCTGATAAATCGAATCCCAGAAGCTAGACTGTGGCAGCTTTGATCTTCTCTCTCATGTAGACATCGCCTAACAGTCATTGATGGCCCTATCTTATTCTTTGTTGTGACCTAGGTCTGATATGAACCTAGGTCTTCACATAGGGGTGAAACAAATGTTTATCATTTTAGCCCTTCTTGATGAGTGTTTGATTTCCCAGTACAAAGGACTTTGTGGTAATTTCTAACTGAGATAAAACTTATAATTGGTATGCTGGCAGGGCGTCTGCCCAGCAATGGCCAATAAGAGGTTAAAAGAGCCTATGGGAGGCTGTGCAAAAAGCAGAGGCTGAGAGGAGTGGCCAGTCAGGACCCAGCAGGCCCATTAGAGCAAAAAGCCTTAGAGCAGAGCAGGGTCAGTAGCTGCCTGGAGCTTAAGGAGAAGTTAGTGTGGAATAAGCTGCAACTATGTAGCACTTCAGACAGAACAGTGCAAACAGGACCCCAGGGAGGTTGGAGGAGCTCTGGATGGACTACTGAGACTGAGGAGGACGCTGTGGCTGCAGAGAAGTAGCCCGAGGAAATGCTGCAATAGTAGAAGCAAAGGAAAGCAGTGAGTGACTGATTCAGAGAGCTGAGACCCAGAGTAGAGGGCAGGCCCAATTCCCTTCCACTTGCCACTGGGGAAGTAGTAGGACAACTGAGGAATTAAACTTCCCCAGGAAGGGAGGAACACAGATAGTGACATGGCCAGAGGACTGAGCCACAAACAGGATGCTGTGGGTCTGCAGAGGAGTAAGAGGGTACAGACCACATAGGCATAAGCCTCAACCTAATCCCAGAATGACCAGGAGGAGATGCCAGTCCAGCTACGAGTGACACACTCCATGACATGGTAATTAGTGCCCAAATGAGATTAGTGTGAAAACTCCATTACCGCAGTTATGTCAATCCACATTGACCACTTAATTAAATTCCAAAGCAATAAATGAAAACAAATGTCACCAAGATTTTTACATACGATTAATGGTCTCCTTTGTTATTTCCAGTCCGATTAAACCTACCACTAAATGTCACACATGAATAATGTGATTCTGTAATCCTATATTGAATTAAAATAACTGGAAGGCCCACACCCCTAGATGATGTTGGAATATAGTACTTATTTTTCTGAGTAATGTTCATAGGCTATTTTAAGCTAAAGTACAAAGGAAACACTGATATGTTTGCTTTTCACAAAACAATTTATGACCAGACATAGTTAAGAGTCATTGCTTAAACACTAAAGGAGCTAAAACAAAACAGTAAATGAGGTGTCACTGAAAGAACTGTTATGGGAGGGGGAAGAGGGGAGCTTGCTGTAGCAGCGAGCATATATACATGTATGTGGGGTTTGGTTTTGCTTTGAACAAAGTGCTGAGGGATCCCTGAAACAATCTGTTCAACAGCTTTATGTGGAGGCTCTGTACGGCAACTGGACAAGCATCAGGAGGCTGTGACTGCAAATTCAACAAGGGACTTGAGCCAGAGAAAACAGCTGGGAATCCAGGTAGTGGTAGCAATTTTAAAATCTCTATATACCCTGAAATCATTTGGCAATTATTTACTCAATGAATAAGTCACCCTTAGACCACATAAACCTATTTACTAATCTTAATTTTATGAATGTAAACATAGTGACAAATCAAAAGCAGTGTACTTACGGTGAAATTGTACAGCCAGAAGCATATGCGTGATGGCCCGTATAGCGGATATCACAGCGTACTACGTTGTTGGAGTAATCAGACTCTGGTACCAAATAGCTGGGGTTGACACTAACCTTGAAGTAAGAAAAATGCTGTTTACAACTGGGTTTGGATTAATAACATGCTGTGCTAGCTTAAAGGGTTTGACAGTTATGGTTTCTTAAAATATGCCCCATACCTTCAGGATGTAGTTTCCAGGCTTTACATCTGTAATATCAATCCACTGGCAATCTATATCAGCATTGTAGGTGTCATAACAGCCAGGGCTCAGTCCCTAAAAAGTGCAAGCAGAGGAGTCTAAATAATACATTTTCAGAAATCCACATTAAGACAGACACAAACTAACCAAAATCAAGAAATTCAGGTAACACTATGATGTTTCTTTTGAGCATACAATTGGCAGGGAGGAAAGGCACCAATGAATGAGATAAGCATTAAATCTGAATTTTCTGGATTTTGTTTCTTTAAATACTACTACTTAGTTTGGACAGAGAAGTTATATTGACTTTTCTTTGGGCCATGGAGTTTTTATACCATGTTGGGGTGGTCTTGAAAAAAAATTGAGAATTCCTGGCCTAAAGCATCACTTATTTATGAAGTGAAGGAATCACTCCAGAAAAGATAAAAAACTGACCAAAACTTTCTGAATCTCAAAAGCCAATCAGTTGAAGTTCACCAAGTTTTGGGTGCAGATTTTGGCTATTGTTTTTCCTATTATCTTTTTTAATGAACCACCTTTATGGTTCTGCCTAGAACCAGCATTTCTGCAATACCAGGAAAGCTGTTCTTGTAGTATTTTCAGCCTGACAAGGAAGCAGTTAGTATTTGGAATTGTGCAGTATTTTAATCCTGCATGTGCAAACCCAAGAGGCTTGGGTACAGTTCATCTGAAATTTTGGTTCAACACTGAGATTTTGAAAAATATGGCAGATATATGGAAAGTTCTGCATGTGATATTACAACACCAATAAAGTCCTACACATACTATTTGCAAAAGCCATTTTTGATCCCCTCTGTCTGAATAGGAAGTTCTGATTGCTGCTGCTGCTTAAGATTTATATTCTAAGGGACCAATTCAGCAAAAAATATTCATCTCCATTTTGATGGGATAAGGGGAGGGGGAAGAGAGAGAGAGCTGCTATTTCTTGTGCTGCCAGCTCCACTTTAAATCATTTCCCTTCTAAATGTATGTGAATATCAAAAAATCAAGAAATAACTTTGTCCCCTGAGTTAGGACATTAGGGCTGTGTCTAGACTGGCAAGTTTTTCCGCAAAAGCATGCCAATAAAGTACTCTCTTGGCATAGCTCTTGAACTCCATAAACTTCTTATCTTTATATTTAATTGGTCTGTGGCTTTATTTCTGCAGAAAAATGGCGTAATAGGTGTTTTCTCTTCAAGAAACTACAGTTTTTGAAAGGTCAGAAATGGCTGCAAGAATTCAGAGGGTATCCAAAATAGCACCAAAGGTTTTCCTGATCTTTGGATCCAAAAATCCTCCCACTTTGGTGCCAGGAATATAGTAATTGCACCAACTTGAATGTATCAACAGTCCACCATGTCTGGTATCCTCAGCTGTGGCCAATCTAGGATGCTTTAGCGAAATAAAAAATCCTCATAAGGCACTTAACTATGCAAGACAAAGCCATGCAGGAATTCCCTTCTGACCCCATCTGGTAATCAGCTTACGCTCTAATATGTGTGCCAAGTTTGAGGCTGAAGCAAAGTTTTACAGTCCAATTACAGCCCCTACGAATATAGGCTTCCAGTGAAAATGCTGACGTAGCCTTGAATCTGGTGACACAAGTATTCCAACTGTAAAATATATATGTTAGGTGAATGTTGTAACCTACCCAAAAAGAGAATATTTTTAAAAACCCTTTACAAACTTTACATATTGTAGCTCATTCATGATATTTAAGATTTAAATATGGACACATCAACCATAGGAAAATATCTGGCATTTCTCAGGGGTAAAATTACTACCTCTTTGTATGTTAAAAACAGCAGAAAGGGATGTGGTTTGTCTGTGATGTTTACACAGCTCCCATTAATTTGAGTGTTTGTTACATGCATGCACAGAGCATGATGCTATGGAGTACTTAATCCCCTTTGATAGCATTGGGAACTAAGGAAACTGTATCTTGCACTCAGCCTCTGAGCTCTGATCCTTGCATGCAGTGAAAGAGAGCAGAATGTGAACTGGGGTGAGACCAGAGTGAAACCTCTAAAATATTTCCTCACTGCCCCTGATGGCCAGTCTCCCACTCTAAGTCAGAGTAGCTAGAGTACTGTTTTAATGTACATCAGCTGCCAATAGCTCTAGGGGTCTGCCAGGATGCAAGAAAGCCCCAACCACCACACCTTTAGAGGGCTGAAGTGGAAGGAGAGTCCAAATTATGTGGCTTGATGCCACAAGCAAATTCTCTCTACCCTGGGGTGGTTCTCTGATAGTTAATTAAGGCACGTGAGACTTAGGGTGTATGATGTTAGATAAAATCTCTGAAGTAAGGCAAACTGCAAGAAAGAAAATAGCCCTGTTGGTTATTTTGAATCATCTCTTACCTGTGTATGTGCTGTACATGCATATCGTCTATAGTATCCATAATCACAGGAAGTATCTTCAAGACAAAAGCTTGCTTTGTGCCCTTCAGCAACCCTCCGATGTGAGCCTGCTTCCAGCAAGTCATAGTGGCTGAATTCGTCCATGCTGTGGTAATGTCTGTTAGACCACAGCTCAGTTAGTAGCAGCAGATCAGATATTTGCCAAAACATTGTTAAATCATAATATTAATCGTGTTTCCTGTCTGATCTACCTTTATAGTACATCCTGCAAAATGTTGGGTTTTTTACATACTAATCGGTTAATATGTTTTCTCACTGACACCATTTTTACTCTGTTTTCAGATGTTGTATAATAACAACTTTATAAAAACAAATCACATTTTGTTAAAGGAATGGCTCTGTGTTGGCTTTGCTTTCCCCAAATTTCCTGTTTTCTCTCTTTCAATAACACTAACAAGCACTTAAACTGTTCACATTTGAGTGGTTCATCTTATAATGTTTGCCTTGAGGCACAGTTTGTCTGGCTAGGAATCCTTACCTACTAATACTTACATACTGTAAATTCTAGGCAAGTTTGCTATTTCTGGAATAGGCTGAAGTGTTGTGGGTTATTTTTCCACTTCTATTGTCCCCATAACATCTAACATTTTATACTTATATTTGCAAATAATCTACTCTGCTTAGAGATTCATCCTCTGTGCCCTAATCTTACAGATTTGATAAGATTCAAAGATTGTAAGACATTCATACAAACTGTAATTCAAAATCTTGCTAATTTGATATTAAGGTGTTCTTTCCAAATTGTATTTGTGCTTGTTTCACAGTGTGCACTATTTCAGTCAGTATGACTGTGTGTGTGTGTCTCTCTCTCTCTGGTCTCACACACTAGCTGTGACACACCCATTTTGTTCTGTGGTTCTACTTTTCTCACATAGATGGAGAAAACAAACTAGCAAGAGCCAACAAATCAGCAGCTTGTCTGTGAAGCATTCTGGTATTTCGGCTTATGAAAGATTTTAGCATATTGTGTATATGTAAAAGATTAAATAAAATACAATTCAAACACCTTTTAATGTAAAATAAATAAATACAAACCTATATAATATCAATCACAAGCTAAAAACTTAGTTGACAAGGTGACTCAAAGATTGATTGTGAGAAATGTATTAGTATAGTTCATGGACTAGTGTCAACATCATAGAAACCATCCCCACAATTGGCATTCTTGTTTGCAGCACATTCAAAGTCCAAGAACTGAATGACTATTGAAAGAATTACACTTGCACTCTGGTCAGTATGATTATTGCCTATTATTGGCAGAGAAGGGATTACTTGGTCTGTGGATAGAAAAAATTCAGTGCTATCAATCTGTTACCTTTTGTAAGTATCAACTGCACATTAAATTTTTTTAAGTTAAAACACATTCTCAGAGTGAGAGGTTTTTTTTAACTATACCCAAGACTTGTACAATATGAATAAAACAACTGCTTTGCTAGGTCTGTGTTTTAAAAGGCTTCATTTGAATTGACAGTAATTTGTTCCATTGGAAATAAACAACTGGACTTACTGAAGCAGAATAGAAGGCTTGATCCTAAATCCCTTGAAATCAATGGAGAAATTCTACTATTATATTAATTAATTGTAAAAGGCTTTGAATTAAGCCCATGGCAACTTTTGTGGTACATATTTTGTGGTGCGAGTAGATGGAATTCAGTGTTCTGTCATCACTTTATGAATGAACACATTATCTCTGTATTAATATTAATCATGAATTTATAACTGCAGAATCATACTTTAAATAGGAGAAAATACATACTTTAGGAAAGCATCTCAAATCTGGTATGAAATCAAAATTTAGTGCAAGATTGCAAACTCATTCACCTAGCTGATTGGAAAAGACACAAGTGCACATATACAATTTTATTAGGTTGCAAACTGTTGCAAATATTCTCTGAAGTTTCTCTTGCCAAATATCTATCAGTATTCATCTTGCAAAGGTGATACTGGTACACTGTATATCAGAGGTAAATGACTTTATTGCAGCATCACTTTATGCAAAACGCCAATTCTTTTCAAATGAAGATGATAGTAAGATTTCACCCTGAGGCTTCATATAGGTACAAGTGCTTATGAAGGACCATTCCAATTCCTCTTTTCAATATTCCTTGATTCATGAAATAATGGGGTCCCTTAAAAGGACCAAATGACACATTTAGAATTTGAATATTCCTTTTTTTTAGTGAGTGTAATTAAAAAATGAACTATAATTGTAGCTATCTTTTAAAGTTCACTGGTTAGTTCCACCTAAGTAAGTATAAATGAACAATAGCCTTATGCAAAAATGAATTTAATAGGCTATGTGACCAAATATTTTAAATTGGTTTGATATTGCATAGGCTTCCAGATTTTTACATTTTTATGTATGTATGAACTATTGTCATTTGATCATTTCAATCTTCATCCTCATAACTTTTACCATAAAATGGGAGGTGCCAGCAAAATCCTATGGCTAGTTTTCCCCAAGACAGTAGCAAAACATCTCACATTATAATTAACATGGCAAATGAACAAGGTAAGTAAAAGGTACCATACTGGGCACTTCACTCACTGGTGACAGCTGTGCCACTCCCATGAATATCGGGGTCTGCTTGGTAGGAAGTCTGATGTGCCTTGATTTTTCACTCTTTGTGGGAATCTCAGAAGCACTCGAGTATCATAGTCTCTGACATCTGCCCTGTAAGCTGAACTGCAATGATGTACAAAAAAATACATTTGCAATATATTAAACAGATATTCAAAATTGCTGCTGCTTGGTTTATGATCTAGCATTCTTCTGTGACTAGATGTCATAACTAGCAAGTTATTTGGCACCTTCAAACTCAAGAATGCCCTGTGACGTGTTTAGATGATTCCGGTATTGGATGTAGGCTTTAGTGACATTCTCAAATCTTCTGTTGGTGTTAGTTTTGCTACTAATTTCAGTAAGAGCAGTATCTGATCCCTGATGAGCACTATTCGGAAATTATTTGATATTTAGGGAAATCAGTGGTGTTTAACAATAGCAAAGAGCCTAAGATAACTTTAACAACGACTTGCTGTAAACAAATCCTTGTTTGGCTTGAAAAGCTGTTTTCAATAGTTTCTGTAAAACAAAATATCTTGTAGGATGATCTCATGGTTACAGTAGAATTTATTTCCATTGTAGTTTAAAAGGCTACAATAAAGACAGGACAAAATTGGGACCAATCTGGCCTTCTTGATTTTTAACTACCAATTTATCAACAAGAACAATTTTAAATGGCTATTTTTGATAGAGGCACAAAACAACCTTTTCGCTCCATTGCTGGCTTTCCTGCAGCAAACTAACGTTTTATTCCCTAGTGCTATTGAAACCCACACACCTAGTGTGGGTACTGAGTACAGCAGGTTGCACCTAGACCACTGCAACAGTTAAGATCAAGAGACCTCTACAGCATGGGCTGGGAGCCAGCTGGCTTTTAGCTCAGCAGGTAGAGGCTCCTATAGTCAGGTCCCAGGTTCAAATCCACCTTGGTGGTGGTTACACTATGCTACAACTAATGGTACTGGTGACTAAAAGTTATTTTGCATTGTAAGATACAACACAACTTATAAAACTGTTAATTTCAGTTCCATTCAAAACAGGAAAAATCCCTCTGTCAAATGGATAGGGACAACTCACTAGTAAAGATATTTTTTCAAAGATACAAGTGATTATTGCCAATATTTTTCTGCTAGATTTGTCTGTGCTGTTGTATTGCATGTGCCTAGGTATAGTGAGTACAGTGTTTTGAGTAACCCTTACAACTGAGCAGCTGCCAACATCAAAAAAATGAAATAAGATGGTTTATTTACATTAGAGGAGGAAGCTGAAAAGATCAGTTTCCAGCTAAAATCAGGGACAAGTGATTTTGGCTGCCTAACTTCAGAGATGTTTAAAGGGGCCTAATTTTCAGTAAGTGCACAGTACCTACCCTTTGGAAATCAGGCTCTTTTAAGACATCTCAAATAGTCTAAGCTCTGTAAAAGGGTGGCACCCGAAAGTATTTGCCATTTTTAAAAACTGGGGCTAGTATGTTATTCTTTCTTGTTGTGTGTTGTTAAAAATGCAGGGCCATACACCCAAAGACAAATCTAGACCCGCTGTTACCAAGCCCTCTATCTTTCCCTTTTCTCTGCTGGTTTCCTTGCCCTTAAGGAGCCAGGCTGGCTGAGGCTAATGTAAAGGGGAAGTCCGCAGAGATGCCTACCTTGCCAGGCAGTTCTCCTCAGCAGCACATCTCAGGCTGTACATGGACGCCCGTTGGACATAGGTGGAGGCCTGGATGTAATAGGGATCCGGGACTAAGTCAGGGAGACCTGCAGTTCATGAGACCAACCACACAACAGCACGATCAAGCCCAGAACATGCCTGCTGCTAATGTTTTGTGTCGCTCCCAAGCGTTAGGAGGGGTTATTCTGCCCACCACCCGTTATGTCTCAAAAAACAGCCAAGCTTCTGGCTCGACGGACACAACCTCCTGCTTGCAGCCAGCCCCTCGCCTCGTGAAGCCGGAGGGCTCTCGCCAAGCAGGCTCCCCTAGAAAGCCTAGGACCTGGGCTGATGTGAGGCAGGGCTCGTCCTTTCCCCCAGAGCATGCTGGGACCGCCGCGCGCTGCCAAAGCCTCTGACTCTGTGCTGCA